ATCGTAGTGATGCAACTCCCACACCAAACATCTGGCTGACACGTGGACAGATAGCTAGATGCAAACCTTTGGCAATAACCCCAAGTATAGCAAAAACTGTACTGCCAGATTCTGCATGTTAGCTGCAAATCAGGTTTGAAAGCCGGACTATAAGGGAGAGGAGAAGAAATCCGGTGCTATCCTGGATACCACAGACGAAATTTCCCCCTCCCCCACCCCACCCTAAGCCTATAGGATTGCGGAAGTGGGGGCCTATTCGTTGCACATTTCCACAAGTGGGCTGAGATCATCCACTCAAGGGTAAGCTGAACTTAGTTTTTTTTTTTTTTTTTTTTTTTTTTTAAACTAAGTTCAACTTGGCCAAGGGGGGTCTCTTCACTGCAGAATGGCCATTGGATCTTTTTGCATCAATAGGCATAATCTACACCTCACTCCTATCGTGGCAAGGCACTCCCTGTTCTTGTTGTTTGCTATATATTGGCAGCTGTCCTCGGGCTTGGCTGCGCTGCGTCAGCCTAAAGTTGGCATTGGCAGGCACACACTGATGCGTGAATGGTAAAAAAAAAAAGGGGTAGCCGACACAGGACTATGGGACTGATATGGGCCTCGCTGCACAACTCTCGAAATGTGCAAAATGAGACTGAATCCACCGGGAGAACATGGACAGATACATTGCCATCCTTTTGTCTTTTGTGCATGTGGAGAGTATTGCAGCGAGGCGCTATGGCCATACGAGGCTACCGCCTTGTACCCTGAATGGAACGCATACATGGGGCCTCGCTGCACTACTCTCCACGTGCAGAAAACACAAACAAGATGGCAATGTATCTTTCCCTTTTCTAGCGGTGGATTCAGTCTCATTTTTCACATTTGGAGACTAGTGCGGCCGTATCTGCCCCTCAAGCTGTACGTAACGCAAGATGTCCAGGCGCAATCAGCTTGGACAGAGCAGCGGCAGCAGCTCTAGCAGCAGCAGCAGCAGCAGCAGCTAGAAAGATCAGCGCTCTTGTCCTTAGTTCAATTTTAGCATATGACGAGGACCGTCAGTTTTTATTACTGCAGCCTAGTATGCAGTCCAATCTGCAGAGGCCAGACCGAATGGAATTTCCACCCCCCCCTCCTCCCCCTCCCTCCCTCCCTCCCAACCCCCCAACCCCCCCAACCCCACTAGACAGGGCTGCGAATGTGATAGGCCAGGATGTCACCTGTACTCCTGAGAAATAGTTTTTTTCGCCGAGGCTGATGATGGCCGTCGCTCATATTTATTCCGAGACTACGGGGCTCGCTGCACTACTCTCGACATGCACAAAATACAAAAATCATGGCGATGTATCCAGCCTTATTCTAGCGGAAGATTCGAGAGTAGTGCAGGGAGGCCCTACCAATACCAAAAAAGTTACTTGGCGAGGGTGGCGATGGCCGGCAAATTGCCGGAGTTCCAAGTTGGAAGGCCCGTGTTGTGAGCTCTCAAGTGCAAAGAGGGGTTAAGGAGGGGGGGGGAGGGAGGGGAAGAAGACTTCCTAAATATACACTCTTGTGGCCGTAGATTCCAGTGAAGATACGAGAGATTGTTCTTCCGGGCCGTAGATTAGAGAGATCCACGACGGTCATCGTGTATATTTGGAAGTGACGCGAGTTCGGTGAAAAGACGCTCAACTGTTGCTTTCGATTTCGATTTCTGTTTGCAGGTATGAGACCGCCTGTACCCGTTGAGAGATGTCGGGGCTCGCTCCACGGCAAAATGAGACTGAATCCTGTAGCAGAACATGGAAAGATACATTGCCATATTTTGTGTCTTTTGTGCATCTGGAGAGTAGTGGAACTGAGACCCATCATCGTGGAACTCGAACTCAGCGGTCCCAGGTAAATTCAAGAATCATCTAGTTCCAACTGGTAGACTCGAACTCAGCGGCCCCAGTTAATTCAAGAATTCATCGATTTCCACCTCCTCAACTGAAAAAAAAAAAAAAAAACTCAAAACCGAAAAGAATCATCTAGTTCCAACTAGATTCGAGCTCAGGTCACGTGGTCTAGCCTAGCTCAGTGGGTACACTTATGAACTGTTGAAATTCAGACCTGTGTTCGAATCCAGATGATGGAACTTGATGAGTAAAACCAACTACTAATGAATTGCTTGGGGCCGGTCAGCTCAATGACAATATCTCAAGGCCGTCACCCTTTAAAAAAAAAAAAAAAAAAAACTTTTTTTTTTTTTTTTTTTTTTTTTTTTTTTTTTTTTTTTTTTTTTGGACCATTTCTCGATTTATGGGTGTCATCGTGGGTCGCAAAGGACTTTTAGGAAAAAAAAAAAAAAAAAAAAAAAAAAAAAGTTAGAATCAGGACGTTATGTTTGATTCCCACCATCAGATACATGAAGGGCGTCGCCGCACGGGACACGAAACGAAAAACGAAACGAGTGCATCTTCCTGCACAAAATCGCCAGGGTCATCCATTTGCTATAAATAATGAGTGTATTTGGCCACTTTTCGTGGGCAGATGCACTCGTTTCGTTTCCGTTTCCAGTGCCGTGCCGCGAGACCCGAAATGTATCAATTTGCTATGACCGGCCAGTTTGACACGGAAGGATTCGAACGCACGTTCTATATGTCAACACTTTAGGGCATCCCCACGGCGCTCTCGAAATCTGCAAAATGGGAATGAACTGTTGGCTAGAACATGGCCAGATGCGCCCGCCACAATTTTGTCTTTTTCACATTTCGACAGTGGTGTGGCGAGGCGCTTACTGTGTACGAACTGAGCAGGCCCGGGGGCCCAAGTCCTACTAGCAGCGTTGAGTATCCTCAACTCCTGAATGTGGACATGTTTGTGGAGATGTACGGTTGACGAACCTCAACGCGATTTCTGCACATCTCCACAAACACGACCACATTGGCGCGTTGAGAACACTCATCGCTGCTGGTAGTGGGACTTGGCCCCCGTTGGTATTTTGGAGAACGAGTTGATTAGGCGGGCGCGGGAGAGTGTGGGTGGGCCTTTCACAAAACAAAACAAAACAACAACAACAAAAAAAACAGAAAAAAAAAAAAAAGAGGGTGAGGATGGCGCCGCAGCTGTGTGGTGCGTGGAGCGCGGCGCGTTTTCCTGGCTCGCTCACTTCTACTCGTGCGCGCGCGCTCCCATTTCAGGCAAACGGAAGATGCATCTAGTCACGTTTTTACGTACTCGGGGAAAATTTGGAAATGGAAATGGGAAGGAAAATAGAAGCGGGGCGCCGGAGGAAAAGCTGGACGCGGAAAACAAGCGAGAAACGCCACACCGGGGGGCTTCGTCTTCGGCAAGTTCCAGGCCCTCGCACATAGGAGGGACGCTGGACTAGATCCAGAGGAGAACGAAGGCTGACTCGTTCAACGTGAAGGAAGGATGACGCGGAGCCCTTTCCAAGGCAAACTGCCACCGGTGTTGAAGGAAGCCCCCTCGCTCACCCGGTCATGAATGTGGGCTGTAGCGGGCAGGGGAGATTGTCTTTGGGGATATGACTCGGCCCTGCTCGTTGCCCGTGGTGGCGAAGTTTATTCGGTGTGGGTGAGGCAGAGAGGCTGAAGTAAACAAGCTGGTTCCCGAGCTGTGAAGTCAACACGTCAAGCACCGTGAAGTTGGAGGTATAATTCGACAACTGGGTGGGGTCTGCTCTTCTTAGGAGAAGGATATCTTATTTATCCCAGTCTATTATTGCCTCTGTATGAGTAATACTAGAGTTTATTTTGGTATTATTTTAGTATTGGGGATACTGAAGGTTAGGGGTAGTGACGAAAGTCCAGTCATCATGCCTGGGACCGACGGGGCCTCGTCCTCCTCGGCCCAGCCCCACTCCCCGCCTATCCCGAATGCGGAGAAACAGAGGATAAGGGACATTCTCAGCGCCTGTTATTCGGATGGGATCATGCCTCGTCGGTTGTCTCCTAATACCTCCCCAAACACAGTGGAGGTGGGAGAGGACTATGTCAGGGTGACTATCAACCCGGAAGTTCTCCATATACAGGCGGACTGGTTAAAAGAACACGCTGTAACTATCCTCTATGGGGACGAAACCACGTCATTACCTGTGAAAGTTAAAAAACGATTAGTCAGGATCTATGAGGATAGCTGGGCAACCAGTCGGGCGATCAATGCCCCGCGCAAGAGAGGCTTGTTCCATAACGAGTGCAAGAACTTAGTGACTTATGTGTCAGCCTCTGCACAAGTGGCTACCTTCATGCTGCAGAAAGGGCATGAGAAGGTAACTTTGGATGGGAAAGTATACTCGCTCACCTTCCAACCATGGATGAATGATTTCCAACTTCAAGAGTGGAGGGAGGCGATGCGATTTAACTATTTTTGGATTAAGTGTCTGCATGTACTAGTCTCGGCGATGCCATAGCTAGAGAACGCTGTGGAGGAGGCGTTTGGTCAGATTCTGAAATCCTATCCGGCTTTTAAAGAACCCAATTCCCCCGAGTTGTTAAATATCAGGTTCGACTTGGTATCCTCCGCAAGACTGCGTGGTTATGCGTGGACCTAGTTGAACATGGATATGTGGAATTGGAAGTCATAGGGGCCGATACACCATGGTGTGCCTCGTGTAAACAATTCTACCACTTTGTTGGAGACCCGTCATGCCCAAAGAACAAAAATCGCAACTCAAAGGGACAGGAGGGGCAAAACGTGGGGCGAAAAGGACCCTGTGGAGGAAAAAGTGGGCAGGATGAGGGATCCGGTGGGGGCAGAGATAAGGAAAAGGGAGAAGAAAGGGAGAAGGATCCAGAGAAGGGGCCAGAGAAAGAACATGAATCGGAGGGGGGAGACGGGAAATCAGAAGGTAATCAGGGTGACGAAGACACCCGTCTGGGAAAATCCAAAGGGGAGGACAGAAACACGGAATCGAATGTGAAGGGGAAAGGGAAGGACACACGGGGGAGAAATCGAAGAGTGCTGGGGAGGAAACAGCAGAAAAAAGTATACCGCCAAGTGCGAAAAGTCGTAGCCAAAGGGAAAGAGGAAAGCCATAAGGACACAGAAATGGAAGAAGCCACGAAGGGCAGCAGAAGGGATTTTACAGAGACAAAAAGAGGAGGGGAAACGATTAATTTAATACACGAAAGCATGATGACAAAGGACAAATTTGCGGAGGAAGAGGGGTTGGGGGCATCCGAAGGGTCGGAGGAGACAGATAGTTCAGAGGATACTGACCCTTCAGAGAACTCGAAGAGCCCCAGGGAAAGGTGGGATGCAGACGAAGAAGAGGTAGGAACAGGGGGGGAGGAGGAAGGAAAGCAGGCGAACGGAGAAGATTGGAAATCAGATGCAGACTCAGAGGAAGAGGCGGAAGAGGATTTCCTGGGGGTGGTTGGGAATTCATTATCCGGAGAAGGGAATGGTGAAGGGGAGGAGGAGGAGGACGAAGAGGTCAGGGATGATGGTAACTCTATAGTTTCGGATACTCAAAAAAACAAAGGAAATTCCGCATTTAAAGATTTTAGAATCTATACGAATGAATCTTTTTTTCTTGACAAAGAGAAGCCCGATCCTGTGCTTAGTACACAGGGACATATGGAAGCTGAATTGAAGGAGGTGGACGGGGATAAAGGGGAGGAGGGTGGATCGGCCAAAGGGGGGGGATTGACAGACACAGGGGAGAAGAATCTATTCAATCGATATACAGGGATATATCTTCAAGAAAGTAGCGGGCTGGAATCCCCTTCCAAGAGGGCAAAAGGAAATGACACCTCTGGGATAGGGACTTCCATGAATGTGGTCGAGGATGCTCAAAACACAGGTCCCCCGGAGGAGGAATTTAAAGGGAGTAAACGGTCACTCCTTTGCAGATCCTTGAGGAAGGAATTGTCTCTGGCGGGCCCAATGAGAACAATAACGAGAGCAATAAAAGACAGTGGACCCGCCAAGGAATTCCTTACTCCCTTGATCTGCTCAGATACGGTGAATGGAATTATGGTGCTCACACGCATAACGCAGAATGAGGGGCTCAAACTACCCGCGATTCTCATCACTTCCACCCCCTCAGATGAGGAGGTGATAGAGCTCACGAAGAGGCACGTTCTCAACCACATGGGAACAGTGGCTCGTATCCCAACTATCAAAATGAACAAATATTTGTCTGTGGTGAAGGAGAAACTAACGTTGATCTTTCATTTTGTAGTATTGGGATTGAGATCAATAAATGATTCATTTGACAAATGGTGTGAGCTGCGGGTTCATTGGATCCCACTCCAGGATTTTCTGATTAATAATATAAGCGCGTTAGCTTCGCTGCACTTACCTGAAGGAAGATCCGGGACAGTGGCCACAGAATGGATAAAACACCAGAACGTCCAGGACCTCCTAAAGGAGGAAACCCTCGCAAGAATGTTGCAGGCAGTAAAATCTGGAGGGGGTACCTAGAAGGAGATGGGAAAAAGCAAAATGGAGCCGGTGAACCCAGCCCCTCATTCCGGTGGCAGCCGTATCCAACAAGACGGCGGGGTGAGGCCTGATGGTCCAACCGCCTAAACCGCCTAAACTGCGGATTGCAACTTGGAACGTTCGTGGATTGGGTGATACTAATAAAAAATATAAATGCGCTAGATTAAGGAAATGGATGCATTTAGCTAATGTGCAAATTCTAGGGCTACAAAAAACAAAGCTCAACACTAGAAAGATTAGGAAAATTCTCCCCCGGTGGGAAGGACCACAGATATGGGCTCCATCGGATAGATCCTGCGGAGGGGTCGCGATACTCATAGATAAAAATTTGGAGATTGCCCTCCTTGACTCGTATGCTGATCCAGGGGGTCGGATGGCCTGGATAAAGTTCTTGTATCAAAATGAAGAGTGAGCAATTATGACTATTTATGCCCCAGTGGAGTTGCACCTACGGGTAGACTTCCTGGCGGAACTTCCGAGGTTTATTCCGGAGACAGAGAATTTACTGATTTTAGGGGACTGGAACACTATTCAAATCCCAGGTCTGGACTCGCTTTCCAGGTACCCAACAAGGGCGGACGTAGAAATACTCAATGAATTTATTGACAGTCAAGCTCTTGTGGATGTGTATCGTATTTTAAACCCAGACTCAAATGGCTACACCTGGTATGGCCCTAGACCATCCAAACAGACAATGAGCCCCAGAAGTAGACTGGATTTTATACTGGCAAGAGGGGCCCCGTGGGACAGGTGTTGCTGGGCAGATGTCCAAGAGAGCTCCTCTTTGTCAGACCACTGTCCGGTAATTATGGACGTGGTTGCAGTGGATATAGTAGAGAATTCCAGACCCCCCTTCAGACTTAACGTGAACCTCTTGAAAGATGAAGGAATCAAAACCTGGGTTATAGAACAGATGTCCACGTGGAACCAAGCAAAAAATCTTTTTGAGGAAAACTCAGAATGGGCAGAGGTTGGAATAGGCATAGTATGCGCGACATTAATGAACTTTTCTCGCATAAAGGCGGCCAATAGATCCTGGAAAGAAAAACAGCTGAGACAAACGATAGCGTACGCAGAAGAAAGAATGGGGAATGATCCATTTTCAGATTACTATTGGTCGGAGAAAAGGCGAGCCACCTTGATAGAAACCGAAGCCTTGGAGATACAGGCGCAAGATGAAAGGTTGGAATGGTTGAACATACGGGGGATTGTAGGCTATGATAGAATGACGAAAATTTCATTCAGATCATTTAATTTAATGTTAAGACATTCCAAAAGTTTAATAAGGGAATTAGCACACCCGTTTTCAATTGAAACTGTGATTGCCTCAGACACGGAAACAATGTGTGCACATGCCTATGAATATTTCAGTGATATCGTAACTACCAGAAGGCCCTTTGATACTCCAGAAACGGACCTCTCTGAAGGTAGCCAGTACTGGGACTTATCACAAGTTCACCTCCCACCTGGGGCAGCAGAACTGTTGGACAGTCCATTCACTGTGGCTGAGCTGAAAACAGCAGCCAAGCAAATGGCAAAAGGAAAATGGCCCGAAACGGATGGGCTCCCGGTGAAACTGTTTACAGAATGCTGGGAGGTTTTTGGCCCATTTTTGGGGGGAGGTATACAACAACATCAGAAGCACAGGGAGGCTCCCCGAAGGTTTTCGAAAAGGGTATATTTCATTACTATATAAAAAGGGGAGTAAATTGGAAGTAAGAAACTACCGCCCAATATCCGTTTTGAACGTAGTCTATAAAATTTTGGCGAAAGCGCAGGCCATAAGGTTAGCAGAATTTCTGCCGAGTCTTATTGGCCAAGAACAAGGGGCATTTGTAAAAGGTCGGACCATTTTTGATAATATAATGACCACCATCCAGGCTCTAGAGGTCATATCCTCAGAAAAACACGAAATAGCAGTCCTTCTCCTCGATATGGAGAAGGCGTATGATAAGGTGGGATGACCATTCGTTTTCACCTCTCTCAAGAGAATGGGGTTTGGGCCTCAGTTTATCAAATGCGTAAAGGCAATGTATGTAGAGGCTCCGTCAGCAGTATTGGTCAATGGTAGATTGTCAAAGGAGTTTAAACTCACGCGTTCTCTGASGCAAGGGTGCCCCCTGGCCCCATTGCTGTTTGTGATCCAACTGGAGATAWTACTAGACAACATAAGGCTAAACACCCGGATCAGAGGACTGGACCTCCCACCCACAATCCACTGGAAGGGKGGAGCATTAGCTGACGATCTGACGGTAGCRTGTGAGAATAGTGAGAATTCGTTACAGGAACTGAGGCAGGTATTAGATCAGTATTGCTTACTATCAGAGGCTACAATAAACTGGGATAAATCTGTATATCTCCTCCCTGCTCCGTTTGTACTTTGTGTAAACTGGGGTCTCAGACAAGTTCCAACAGAAAGTTCAGAAASACTTCTCGGTGTGCAAGTCTCCCTCACCAACTGTGCAGCGGCCCAGGACAAGATCCTACAGGACAAGGTGAGTGCGAGGGTTCAAGGCTGGGTTAGAAACTTTAAATTGTCCCTTTTTGGTCGGGCACTGGTGCTGACGTCAGCAGCATTCTCAATCTTATGGTTTCCTCGCACGGTTCATTGGCTAGGGGACAAAGCCTACTCAGCTGTCAAAAGAGTTGCGGCCAGATATCTGTGGAAGCCTGCGGCGGAAGATCAAGATGGTTTCATTTGCAAGGCGGCCTGGGATTTGATTTGCTTACCAAGGGCCCAAGGGGGACTCGGCCTTCTGGACCCGAGAGATCAGAACATAGCTTTACTGATGAAATGGCTGATCAAGGCCATCTTCAGATCGGAACACAAACAGTGGATCATCTTGGCCGAATATATTYTCATRAAAGAATGGGCACTGCCGGATACAAGAAGTGTGTGGGTCAGTATTGTTCAGACGAATATGTCTAAGCGTAGAATCCACTCAAAGYTTTGGTCAGGGATACTGCATGCTTGGAACAAAATCAAGCCAGGTAGACTGAAGGAACCSAGTTCCAAATTARAAATTTCTAATCAGTKCCTGTTTGACAATAATCTGATCTGCCAGCTATCGGGCCAGCCATTTTTRACGGCCAGCGGGCCAGGCCACTTTGCAAAAGCATGGATGGAGAAGGGGGTCTATCTCATTAGCCACATCTGGGATGAAACTAGACAGGACTGGCTGCGCCCAGCAGATGTTAGAAGGCGGATAACAAGACTGCACAAAGTCGRGGACCATTATCAACGAATACTCCTAGCCATTCCACCACAGTGGAAGAACTTGCTGAAAGATGAGTCTGAGTATGCCTCAGGCACATGGTTAGAACACCCAGATGATAATAACAGAGTATTAAAAGTCTTGGGTCCGGATCTGAGTCAGGGCATGAGAGTGGAACAATGGAGGGCGGACAGAATTAGCACGGAGGAGACCTCAMTAACGTTCGAGCAAGAGAGAACAGTTACTTCCACAAATACTCTACCTGAAGTGAGAGTTTGGGAAGATCAACTAGGTAATAGGACGCAGGCTACGTTACTGAGAGGTAACCCAGCGGACTATGCTGTCGAGSCTTTACTGTTTGGTTGGGAAGAAAGAGGAAAAAAGAAACATCCAATTTGTTGGTATACTACTAAAATTGGTGTAGCTCAGCGACGTCAGAATAGGCTAAGGCCACAGACAGTAGCTGAGCATAGGTTCCAGAAGACTCAAGAGGCTAATAAGCCCACACCAGACTATCCGGAAATTTGGAAGAGACTGCGTAAAATACCATCCCAGAAACAGGCAAGCCTAATGTGGTCACACTCGATGGGCATCATTCCATCAGCTCTGTGGTTACAATCGAGGGGCATGCAATTGAGCTTAACCTGTCCAAGATGTAGGTGGGGGTCGGAATCTACAGAACAAGTGTGGTTATATTGCCCGCTTGCAGATGAGATCTGGCTTTGGTGGAAGACCATGTGGGAAACCTGGGTAGATCAGAAATGGGACTGGAGTGACGATTGGATCCTACATGCAATTCYCCCGGAGAAGGCCAAATGGAATGATCGGTGGGGATATGCAGCCCTTGTCTGCAGAGGAATTGTGATGGAAACGATTTGGAAAGCAAGAAATGCCGCAGTCTTCAAGGAAGAGCYGATTTCAGCACATCAACAGAAGAATATGATCAAACAATCGTTGAGGTTCTCCATCTTAGCAGACTGGAAGAGATCTGGGATGAGAACAGGGGGAGGTCTCTCCTGGCTCAGGAAAGTCTGGACAGGTAATAAAGCATTGGCAATAGTTACAGAAGAGGGCAAGTTAAAAATTGCGAATTGGCTCAAAGATGGAGTTGTAACAGTTACCTCGAGAAGTCAAGCCACTCAAGAGGTGTTAGCCTGACAGAAGTAGATGAAGGATTCCTCTGAGAAAGAATTGGTGGCCTTTTTACTGAGCGTAAAGTGGAGTTTTTGGGAGCAGTGTTTGAGAATGGGACGCAGGACCCGGTTTCCTGCAAGGGATTAGATGGGCTCTGCCCGGACATGTTACACCGGGTTGAATTGTGAGGTCCCCGGCCTCAAGGTTACCCATTTTGAAATATATTGATAATTGCTCTCAAAAAAAAAAAAGAAAAGAAAATAGAAGCGGCGCAACCCTTTGTTTGACACATCGCACCGCCGGCGCTCATGGAATGCATGTGGTTGAGTCGGCCAACCGGAATTTGTTCGTTATTTCGTCCAAAACAAAACAAAAAAAATAAAACCATTTTTTTTTTTTTTTTTGTTCGTTCTTGCTTTGTTCGTTTCTTTTCGTATTTTTTTATTTTTATTTTTTCTTAGAATTTTAGCAACTTTTTTGCGTTCTGGTTTGTCGTTTACCTGTGCTGTGCTATGCGTTGTTTTGAGCGCGCGCCCCCGGCCCTCGCAAGTCGCGCCCTCGCACTTGTTCCCTTTTTTTTTTTTTTTTTTTTTTTTACTTGTTCCTCTTCCTAAGCCATTTTGCATCTCATCCTGAGCAGAGCGCCGGGTGTCATGAATGTATTGGAAAGGCAGATAATGAACAGATGCGTGCATGGCCCGCAGGCGCTCTACTGCGTGTGTGCGCGGGACAGCGGGGTCCCAGGCTGTCAAGCGGCATCGGGGCCAACCGGAGTTGTGCCGTTTTGAGCGTAGATTAGAACGGGAGGAATCTGTGGCCAGAGCGGAGTAATCAGCAGCGGCGGCATAACACCCTCTTCCTCTATGTGGCCCCTCTCCCTCCCCCGCTCTATCGCTTTTCGTGCGTTCGATGGCTTCCCTAGACTGCACCTTCTCCCCCCCCCCSCCCYCCCCCYCCSYCMCCCCTTGCCGCCTCTCTCTCTCTCTCTCTCTCTCTCTCTCTCTCTTTTGCCCTGCTCTTGCTCTTGCTCTTGTGAGCTCGAGTGTCGTTTCCGGGGCCGGATTCGAGTACTCGAGTGCGAACGTATCTTGTATATTTTGTCGTCAATCAGAATGTCAATCAAAATGTGTGAAGAGTTGCTCAAAACAAAGAAAAAAAAAGGGAACTGGATTCTCTCATAGGATTGGTGACCCTTTTTTTTTTGTTTTTTTTTTGCAATATGAATGACCAGATTATATTGTCATCAAACATAGGAATAGGAAAGAGGATTGGTGACTTTGGCAGCAGGGAGGCGAGATGAATGCGTGGTAGAATTGAGGTCCTCGTTCCACGATTGGCCAAATGAGGGAATAGCGAGCGTAAGGTGGCGGAGAACGTGGCGAGATGCATTCGCCAAATGCCGAATTTGAATTTAACGAAACATGACAGTGTATGTTTCCATGTCCTAGCGCAAGATTCCTTCTTCTTTGAAAAAAAAAAAAAAAAATTCCTTCTTTCTCATTTCATTTTGTACATTTGCTGAGTAGTGGAGCGAGGCCCTAAGGTGTTAATTGTTGCGCAAGGACCCGTCTTGTGTTGCGATGGTCGCAAGACAAGGCAATCGAGAAGGTTAATTGTTTCCCTCCCTCCCTCTCTCCCTCTCTCCCTCTCTCTCTCTCTCTCTCTTCCGCAAAAAAAGGAGAGGGGCGAAGGCTATCAACCTCCCTTGCTCTCGCAGCTGTCGCTTTGGCGGGGATTGGAAATACCTGGGAAGGTAAGGGCCTCGCCACACCACTCGAGAAATTTGAAAAGCACAAAAATTTGGCGGGGGCATCTGGCCGTGTTCTAGCGGGAAGTTCATTCTCATTTTGCACATTTCGAGAGTGGTGTGGCGATGCCCTAAGAGCTTTTTCGTTTTGGCGGGGTTTGGGGATTTCGTGGTGGGGTTTTGGACTCGCGTCTTGCCTGTGCCGGACCGGAAGGATAGCTTGTATACATTCAGTATCAGGGTGCGTTATGTTCGGGGGAAGGCTGTAAGGGAAGGCAAGGGAGGGACAACATTCGACGCGCGGGGGAGCGGGAGCGTTATTTATTTTATGTTTTACGTTATTCCAAAGCCTGCCGCGCCACTTCTCGCCGCGCCGCTAGTCGGCGGGCCGCGCCGGCCTTCGCCGCGCCAGCCAGCGGAGGCTGTCGTCGTGCTGGTTTCCCACCTGGCGCTGTCACAGGATAATATATGTATATATATGATGATATATCTGTGTTTCAAATTTTGCACATATTTTGTTGCAATATTTATTTTTATTCGAATCGGATGTGTAGTGCACTAGTGTGTACATATTTTCATCTTCCTTTTGTGTTTGGTTGTGTTTACCTGGCTCCTTTCCTCGCACATCCGATTTGCACTTTTACCCCTTTCTTCCCCTTGTGTTCCTGGTGTACGCCCAACGGCACAGGATATAAAATCAATGGCTCCACTCCTCGCGTAAGGATAGGCCGCGCGTTCCCTCCCTTTCGTTAAGTTAGCAGCCATCAGGACGATAAGCTTGTAGATGTAGCTGTAGCTGTAGCTGTAGCTGCTGCCCTGGCTTTTCTCTTTTGCTAGCGACACAATTTGACGTCGTGTTGTTTCTGTGCTTCGCTCTCTCTTCTTGTTGTTAGGCGGGGCTCAGTGCGCTCTTCGCGCTTTTCGCGGGCTCTCAAGTGTGCTGACGCACACGCGCGAGAGGGACAGCGCGGGACTGGGGAGCGCGGAGACAAAGCGGACGAGAGAGAACAGGAGAAGAAAGAGGGCGGTGGACGCGGGAGATGACGAGGGAAGGGGGGGGGGGTGAGGAAAGAGAGAGGACCAGATGAGAGGGGCCCCCTTAGAAGGTATAACTCTAGCAATTGCGGCAACAGGTGTAGTGGAAGAATAAGAAGCGTGTCACCGCAGTTGTGACACTCGTAAGCACAGAACACAGGAACCCCGTTTGCATCTCTCGCACTCTGTCTCTTCCCTTCCCCCCCCCCCCCCTCCCCCCCGCAAAAGCCCCCCCCAAAAGCCCCACCCATCCTGTCTCTCGCCCCACCGGTTTTAACTGTCGCCCCGATGATGTGGCGTTTGACAATACGCTACGCCAAGAACAAGCGGGAAGAGCGGATTTGAGTCTAACGTCGAGAGAGAGAGAGAGAGAGAGAGAGAGAGAGAGAGAGAGAGAGAGAGTCTAAAATTGTGTCCCCGAGCGTGTGCGTGTGTGTGTGTGTGTGTGTGTGAGAGAGAGAGAGAGAGAGAGTGAGAGAGAGAGAGAGGGTGGAGGGTACTGGAGGCAACAGGGAATTCTATTTGGACGACAACAGGGGCAGCTTGCTGCTGGAATTGCGTGTTGGAACTAGTAAGATTCGGGATTGAATTGATTCAGGATCTCTTGTCATCGTTGCCGACATCTTCCCAGGAAGACTCGCCAGCAGGGAAATAAGTGGGCAGACGGTTAGCAGAGCGGCCGTTTCTTTTGGCCCCTGACAGACCACCGCCTCTTCTCTCCCCTCATCACGCGTAGTCCCTCTGTAAGATGCGCTCCGCGATGGTCACGGTCCATCTGCGCCAAGGCCGATCCTGATCTCGCGTCAGTTGTTCTATTCGAAAAAGACAGATCTGACCAATTACTCGCCCGTGCCAAGTTGCAGATGACCCGGTGTTGGATCTGGCACTTGGCCGTCGACTGCCGCTGGATCTGCACTTTAACTCGGTTCTCTGCCCTCCCTTTCGTTTATTCCTCCTCCTCCTCCTCCTCCTCCTCTCTACCCTTTCGCTTGCAATTCGTCCTCTGCGCTCATGCTTGTTGTTCGCCGCTGCGTTCTAGCTGCCGTGAGTCACCGGGACAAGTATCGTCTGCCTGGTGTTTGCTGGCCTGTGGGCAGTGTGGGGGGAAGGGGAGGGGGAGTTGTTTATAAATAGGGAGAGGGTGCAGAGATTCCAAAGCGTCCAGCTGCAATTGCAGTGGCACACGGAGGGACTTGTCGTGCCTGGGAGGAGAAGAGATTGATTGCTACTTCCTCTTGACTGTGTGTGCGTGTGTGAGAGGGAGACAGTAGGTGGGCAGAAGAAACGTGGAAGGGATAGAGGGATTGCCGGCGTGATGAAGGTATTATGACAGTCGCAACATGATTTGCGATTGAGAACAGGCGTGGGTAGGGAGGCCTGACGCTTGCGCAAGGAGAGAGAGAGAGAGAGAGAGAGAGAGAGAGAGAGAGAGAGAGAGAGAGAGAGAGAGAGAGAGAGCTTTTTCAAATGAATATTGCCATATTTCTGTGCTGAATCCACCGCAGAAGAGGATTTTTGGCATTGCTAACCAGTGTGGAACTCGGAACGTGTCGAAAACGGTAAAAAGCGGGAAGGAATATGTTTATGTGATTGATTTGATTTGATTATATAGCTGTGTTTTGTGCTTGGAGAGCGGGTAAGAGAGAAGGAAGGTCAGGCTGACAGCATATACACGAGGCGGCAGAGAGAGAGAGAGAGAGAGAGAGAGAGAGAGAGAGAGAGGGATTGTGATGAGAGCAGGACGGACTTTCTGAAGTCGTTCTGTAATGTTCGAACGAGTGGGAAGAGGGATCGGCGGCGAAGAGATGAAGTAAAAGAATTGCGCAGCAGAGATTGGTGATTGGTGAGAGATGGTGTGGGTCTGCCTTACTCGGTGGGGATTAATTCGGTCGAGCAAGTATAGCTGTAAATACTGTAAGTAGGAATACGCAGCGTGGCAGGCGCAGGCGTGCTACGATTGGTCAGACGGCGTTACGTCTAATGGATCTACGCAGGGTCGATCACTGTTAGCTCAGTTGGGTTAACCCTGGCGCAATTGCTTGGTTGCAGCATCATCAGCCCCGAAGAGAGAGAGAGAGAGAGAGAGAGAGAGAGAGGGAAACAGCAAGCCATCTGTACAGTGCTGGGAGAGGAGGTGAGTTGCTCTGTGCGTGAATCTGTTTTACTGGCTCTCCTCTCTCTCTCTCTCTCTCTCTCTCTCTCTCTCTCTCTCTCTCTCTCTCTCTCTCTCTCGCTTGCCCGCTTACTCTTTTTGTGTTCTTAAAAGACTAACTTCTGTAAGCTGTCCCAGCCTGTCACCCACAGGGAGGCCGTGTATAACTGACTCTCTGCTTTTCTCCTGATGTTTGTGTGTGTCCCCGACTCCCCGCTCGTCCGTCAGTTTGTCAGTATGTCTTGCCTGTTTCTTTTCTGGCCGTCTCGTTTTATTTGGGAAAATTGGGAGTAGGCTGATCATTATACCGTGTGTCGCGGGGGGAGGGAGGAGCGAAGCAGAACTTGGCGAAGGAGACAGAGAGAGAGTTATCAAAGCTGGAAACGATGTGACAGGAAGGAGATCGTTCATTCAGACTTCGTGCCTGAATCATTCACTGCCACAGATTGCTGAGCACAGATTGATGAGCACAGATTGATGAGCGCAGATGGATGAGCATGGTAAACTGGTGCTTGGCAAGTGGATGCTTGTCATACTAGTAGCAGTTAATAGCTCAAAAACCTCGGTCGGAAACGACACCTTTTCTCACCAGATGTATATATATTTCCTAGCTGTTGGGTTTTAAATCTCTTTTTTCCATTTGGTAGTTCCCCTCTCCTAGGAGTCTTTTTTTTTCCCTGTCATTTCGCTGCTTTTTTTTTTTTTTTTTTTTTTTTTTTTAAAACAAACAGGGGCCCAGTGCCCAAGGCTCATATTAGTCATTTCGCTGCTTCGTTGTTTTGTGTTTGTGTGTTGTTTATTTATTTGACGTCAGTTATTGTGTAGCTATTTCAAAACTGAAGTTGGAACCTGCACACACTCGGTTACGGTTTGGTCACACCAGCAGGTGCCGCTCCCTACCCATAGATTGGAGCAACCAGGAGACCTGCTAGGACCCTTGGAGGGGATGCTCGTATCACCTCTTCTAGCCGATTTCCCGTAAGGAAAAAAAAAAAAAGAAAAAAAAAAAAAGGGCAGTTGGTGTAGAAAGTGGAGGGAGTGTGGCTGGTCATGGCGGTCGGTAGGGCTCCTTTTCGACCCCTCTCCCCCGTCTGTAGGGGTTTTGCATATAGCCCGGTAGTACCTTTTAGTCTCTCCGATGGATAGGAGTATTCAGGCGAATATTTAGTAGGATATCGTTATGACTACCGGTAGGTAGCAAGGACAACAAGTGCCCTTGTTTTTATGACTGGTTGTGAGGCTTTTATGCCCGAGCAGGGACTATTGTTCAGTAGGGGAAAACTCAACTTAGAATAGCTGAGGAATGGGGTCTGTTTTTTTTTTGTTTTTTTTTTTGGGTCTGTTTTTTTGGATTGTATGGTCTTTAGAGGCCCCGAGGCGTTTTCTTTGATTTGATTTGCGGTTTGGTTTGGTTTGGTTTGGTTTGGTTTGTGAGGCTGTTGCATAACTTGCAGGCCTGAGGCGTACCTTCTTGTTTTCCAGGGTCGGCGGGTATCAGGACAGCGGTCTGGTTTTGGCGCTGGATTCTCTGGCGCTGGATTTTCACCCCGACACCCACAGTTAAAATATATATATATAATATCAGAGCGCCAAAATGAAAAACAGAAACAAGAAAAACTTAATTCGTTTTTAATCTTCTTCCTTACAACTTCCCCCCTGTTCAGAACCTCTTGCGTACAAGGCCGCCCACGTGGATGTAGGTTGAGCGGCGGCTGCCCCCACCCCCGTGTGTCATATACCGCTTGCGTACAAGGCCGCCCACGTGGATGTAGGTTGAGCGGCGGCTGCCCCCACCCCCGTGTGTCATATACCTCTTGCGTACAAGGCCGCCCACGTGGATGTAGGTTGAGCGGCGGCTACAAGGCCGCCCACGTGGATGTAGGTTGAGCGGCGGCTSCCCCCCCCCCCSTGTGTCATACACGGGGGGGGGGGCAGCCGCCGCTCAACCTACATCCACGTGGGCGGCCTTGTACGCAAGAGGTATATGACACACGGGGGTGGGGGCAGCCGCCGCTCAACCTACATCCACGTGGGCGGCCTTGTACGCAAGAGGTTCTGAACAGCGGGGGAGTTGTAAGGAAGAAGATTAAAGACGAATTAAGTTTTTCTTGTTTTCCTTGTTTTCTTTCTCCTTTTATGCTTTGGCGCTCTGATATCATGTGACAATATATATATTTGTGACGATATATATATATATATATCGTCACAAATAGAACTGCCCGGTAAACCGTAGGCAGAGAGAGAGAAGAGGACAACAAACGAGGGGCTGTGACAATATATATATGTGACGATATATATATGTTTGTGACTTGGACCATTTCTCGATTTATGCGTGTCATCCTTGCGCAGGGGCCATGCTAATCAATCTTCTCTGTATCGTTCCAATTTTAACGGATGTCCCGAAGGACACACCCACAGGTTTTTGTTCTGCTACCTTCCCGGGTTGTTTGTGGAGGATTCCCGGGGCCTGGCCCCACCCGCAAATAGGATTAGATTGAATTCCTGAATCCGGATAACTTTTGTGGAGACATGCAGAAAAGCAGATTAATCACAACTCTCTGGATCTCTCCACGAACACGTCCACATTCAGGAATTATATCCAATCTTTTTTGCTAATGGGAACAGCGCCCCCGGTCTCTCCTTTGCTGGCGGGCGTATTTGTGCGACAGCAGTACTGCGAGATAGACTTGAGGGTGAGCGGGCTTATGTGTACGGCAGGACTTGTGCTGCAGAACCGGCTTGAGGGCGATTTGAGGGTGGGCGGGCTTATCTGTGGGATATCATCAGAGCTGATGCTTACTGGACTGGCAACCGGGGAAACGGGTTGATGGCGGGTACGCTTGTTATTGGATGTCATGGGCCAGAAGCCCGGCGCGAGTGAAATTGACCGGCAAGCTGCTGCTCACACACATACGCCCGGCGCGAGTGTGGGTCTGGAGTCTGGAAGTCGCACGCATGGTTGAGAAGCTAGCAGGGCATGTATGGTGCTGCGCGACAGATCGGAGAGCAGGGAAGTCTGAACGTTACGGCAGTGGCCGCGGGTTGAATTTCGTGGAGTAGAAACTGAATTTCGCGGAGTAGAAACTGAATTTCGCGAAGTAGGTTGTGTGTGGTACTTGTGAGCTCTGTCAGCAATATGGGCCGCATGCAAGCGTGTCTTTGTCTCTGAGTCTCGTTGAATGTGGATGTGTATGTATCTTTGTCTGTGTGCCTGCGTGCGCGCGCGCGTGCGACAAGCACGGCCACGCGCGCACATTCGTACACATTCAGACGCACACGCACACACTCTTCCACACACACAGAGGGGGGGGGGTAGGGAGAGGCGGCAGGGAAGCATATCATCATCATGATGGCGTCTGTATACTTCTGCGTGCCGCGCGTGACTCACTCTGTGTGTGTGTGTGTGTGTGTGTGTGTGTGTGTGTGTGTGTGAGAGAGAGAGAGAGAGAGAGAGAGAGAGAGGGTGGGAGTCGACAGGAAGGCATATCATCATCGCGTCTATGTTTTTCTCTCCTGCGTTTCGCGTTTGATTTCCCGCTGCCTTCTTCTCTCCACCTTCCTTTGGATTACCGGGGTTTTGTCGAAAATCGAATAATTTAGGGGGGGTCGTAGGTTCATTAGTGTGTTCATATTGTTACTCTATGCTTGGGGATGGCAAGTGTTCAGGTGGTGTTCCTTCTCTCGACCTGCCCCGTTGGCTCCCACAACCTTGCTTTCTTGTACAAATCTTGTTGGGCCGTGGGGTGTATTATATTATAGCCTCGTACAAAATAATGAATTTGACAGTTGAAAATTGAAAATCATTGCTTCGCAGGCAGCATGAGCGAATTTTTGGTCCCAAAAAAAACTCCCCGTGTCTTATTTTGACGCCTCTTTTATTCTGATGCGCTTTTTCGAGAAATCAATTTGTCCTCTGGTGTTCATCAAAATCCTCCAGTTTTTACCTGCTGCATCTCTCTCTCTCTCTCTCTCTCACATCACCGTGATTGTCTTTTCTTCTTTACGCTACAGACTACACGCCATTGACCTCTCTCTGTTTCTGTCTCCCTCTCTCTCGCCACGAGTGTTTTGTGGGCAAATTACAGAATCATAATACAGATAATCCTGTTTTGAAAACTATCGTAGCAAATATACCGGTCGCCTCCTGTAATCTTCTTCTTGAATGTACACGACTCAAACCTCTCTCTCTCTCTCTCTCTCTCTCTCTCTCTCTCTCTCTCTCTCTCTCTCTCTCCACTGTTGCCTCTGACTGTGTCTCGCCCCTCCCAAATGTGCTGCCGCTGTCTCTCTCTCTCTCTCCCCGGCCCGTTCCTCCCTCCTCTGTGCTCTCTCTGTTTCTCTCTGCGTTACCTTCTTTCTTCTCCTTTCCTCGCCTATCCCCGTTTCCTCAATTCTTTCACCTTCTACTTGTCGATTTGGCGATGGCTTCTTTTTTTTTTGGTCCTGTTGTACATGCTCACCGATCTTTTGATCCCTTTGTGTTTGTTTCCTTGGGCGTAATTGGGATGTTTCATCGCGAGACGGTAGTTGTATATATTTTTTTAATACATTCAAGTTCTATGTTTATTGTTTGCAGGTGAATTGTTTGTGCCGTGTATGATTTTTTGAATTTTGTGTGTTTGCGTTTGGGCGCTTCTGTCACGTGTGTGCAGATTTCCACATCACGGGAGTTCTCCTTGGAATGTAGAATACATATATATATAGAAACAGTTTGTCACAGCCCCTCGTTTGTTGTCCTCTTCTCTCTCTCTGCCTACGGTTTTACCGGGCAGTTCTGTTTGTGACGATATATATTTAATATATATAGTTTATATATAGTTTAACATAACAGTCGACATCCCGTTCGGTTTGGCGATATATTCAATCTCTTTCGTCAGCACCGACTCAGCAAATCTCTCTCTCTCTCTCTCTCTCTCTCTCTCTGTTTTTTTGGTTTTTCTGTCTTCTCCCTCATTTTGTACTCTCCTTTTTTTTTCTCTGTTATATTCGTCGACGGAACGGGCCGTTGCAAACTCGCGCAGTTTTTTTTTTTTTTTTTTTTACCTGAAGTGCATGTTTCGAAATCAACTCGGCCGTTGGTTGTCATTCTTTCTTCTTTCTTAAAACGCAGGTGCTCGCGGCGAGCGTGTTCAGTTCGTGTTTGCCTCTTCCCTTTGCACGCGAGCCGATCGCTGCAAACGCCCTCACTGTGTTCTCGTTTTTTGGACTCAGTCGCTTCTCCCCGAACTCCGTACATCTTCTACTCCGTACATCTTCTACTCCTTGCTTCCACCCTCCCAAAAGAACACCACGGCGCCGTATCTTTTTCTATTCCCCCACGCCCCCTCCGGCCGGGTTCCGTTGTAGCCTACTCCTTGCAAGACTTGTGCGCTGAAGGAGAGAAGAATATTGCAAGGACAATCAAGAGGAAGAGAAGAGAAGAGGAGAGAACGGTGAAGACAAAATATTGCAAAGGCGATCACGAGGAAGAGAAGAGAAGAGAAGAGCAGGAGGGTGAGGAGGTTGGACATCGAAAAGCGCGGACGTCTATCTGCTTGAGCATCGTGAAAAGTGCGGGGCGAATGTGAATTGCGCCCGCTGGAAATGCGTTATTGCCGATGCCGGTAGCGTACATCCCAAGGAGACCCGCCAGGAGAACGTCTCCGACACTCATGCCAGGTATGTTTTTTTTTGGGGGGGGGTTGGTATGTTCTATTTCTCCTTCCTTCGTTTTTGTTCTTTTTTCCCCCCTAAAAAAAAAAAAAACTAGAAAAAAACTAGGCTACCAGAGTGGCCCGGGGTCACTTGCTAGGCCGGGCCAAAAAAAAAAAAA